CTGGGCTCCAGTTCCATTGGCAGCTGAAGGCGCAGGCGGGCGTGCAACGACATATGGAGGATTCCATGCGTGCAGTCTCCTCGGTCATGGCTGCCCAGAGGATTTGTTGCCGCCACCCCCAGCGGGGCCCAGTCCTGCATCTGGAGCAAATGCAACCCGTGCTGGGCGCGGGCTGGTTGCGGGTGCCAGACCAGTAGTGGGCGCAGCGGCGGCGCGACATGATGCTGGCCGTGTGTACTACCGAAGGATGAGGCAAGTCAGGCGACGCACCAATGCCATGTATGCAGCCTGCGCAGAGCAATACCATGGCTGGGGAAAGAGGGCAGAACATCATTTACGCGCCGCAGGCAGCCTGCATAATGCAGCAGCAGCCCCAAGCGGCATCCTTGCAATCGGCTGGGGCTATGGGCCAGGTGGACATCAGGGGGCCTTTTGCTGTCGCTGGGCCAGAAGATGCCCGGAATTTCGCGGAGAGTTCGCAGAGGGTTTCGGCAGGCCAGCAAGAAGCGTTTCTCGAGCCACAGGATCAACGACCACCGCCACCAAATCAGGGCTTTCCAGATCCTATTCAGTTTTGTGCCATTGAGGAGGCCCCGCCGATCGACCCGAAGCTGATGGCGCCCGCTCAGCCGCGCGACGCGGTGCCCCATGTGGAGGTGCTATCTTCGCCGGCGAGGGGCGCGGCGAATGCGGGAGTTCGAGCGGGGCCAGCGTCGGGGGACGGGCCTGCCCGCGAGAGCCGAGCGGTTCCAGCCCATGGCTTTGCGTCGACAGCGTGAGCGCCAAGAGTGTCCTAATGAAAGGTTTGCGTCTGTGTGCGCGTGGCAGAACTTGATGTGAAATCAGATGCAGCTGGCGCCATCCGTGCAGATTTGCAAATGTATGTCGGGGCGTCGGCTGTCGGGGCTGGTCTGTGCCCCGAAGTGGCCAGAAAAGATTGGCTGACGTGGTGCGAACTGGCCGTCGAGGGCCAGCCATGGGATTCACCGCCCCAATTTGCGATGGGTGAGTTTGTCCACAGCCTGGCCCGAGAAGTCTGCTAAGCAGCTTGAAGGAACATGGTCGTGGCTCGGTATGTGTGCATATCAAGAGTACAACGTATCAGAAACGGACGTGTACGCATGGGGCAACGTGATGAGGGGGGCCCAGGGCGTAAGCAAGGCCCCGAGGCAGAGTCTCACGCGGCGAGCTGATCCAGCGCATCGCGGCCCCGGAAACTTGATTGGCAGGCTGGCATGAGCGCCGTGGCCGCAGTCTGCTGGAATTTCATTGACGACGGCGACCAGGGCCAGATTCTCGGGCGTGACCTGATCTCGGCAAATTTATGTCGACTGCAAGCAGATCTGAGCGTTGCAAGAGCTCCCCAGGATTATGTTGGCAGTCCGGCAGATCACCGACGATAGCAACAAGAGCATCTTCCACGCTGGCAGCCACCAGCCACAGGCGGTGTCACGTTGTTCATGCAACTCAGCAAGGAGACAAAGTCGGCGCCGATGTCAAGACGACCGCAACCCCGTCCACGGCCTCCGCGACCCGGGCGACAAGCACCAGTCGCCATTGGGGGCTACTTCAGTCATGGCGGCGACGGCAAGCAGTGGCCAGTGGAGATAGCACTATGGAGAGTAAATGCAGCCCATGATGAAAGGGAGGCACGGCGCATCAGACAGTGACGGCTGACCCACCGAGACAAGTAGAGCTCGACGCGCCCCAGGTGCAATGCCTCAGATTAGCAGATCTCGCAAAGCAGAAATGCCAGCAATACTGGGGTACAACACTGCCGTGGAACAGCATTTCCGAGCGCGGGTGGAGACAGTTGCGAGCGCAGCAACCATCGCGTCTGCGATCCGACTCACCACGTGCTGTTCAGAGGCCGCGCAAACAGAGGCTGCGCAAAGGCTGGGGAATTCGCCGGGCTCGCAGCGAACAGGTCTAACGTCGCGGCCGCGGGCGTGGTTCAGCTGCGCCCGCAACGCTCATCAACCTCGCAGAGCATCTGATCCTGCCAGGGCCAGATTCTTCCCGAAGACAAGAGCCATAGGTCCGACGACAACAGCGCCAAGACAGTGGAGAAGATCAGCCAGATGGGTATACGGGACGATCGCATGCTGATCTCAGGCTCATGCAGGTATGCGTTAACCACGTGCCCATGGTCCTGCCGCCTCCTGCAAGGCCGTTCGTCTAATCCGAGCACCAGTGCGACCGACAACTGCGTCGGGGCAATGGAAACATGGGCTGGCATGTGGCTGTGCGATGTACGAGATATCGTCATATGCCGTGACTGGATGGACCAGTGCGTGCCGTGCGTGCGCGATCTAGTTCCTGGTGTTCGGCGACGGCGTCTACTACTGCAATGCCGTGGTGCGGGTGCCGGCGCGATGGCCGACGGCATGCGTTCAAGTGCGCGGCATCCGCAGCGACGCCGGCAACATCGGTGGTGAACGTGGAGTTGGCGCCGAGGGGGAGATTTCCGATGCCGCGTGGGCGAACATCGAAGACAATC